GAAAGAGAAGGCTTCAGGGAGATCTTATAGCAGCCTTCCAGTACCTGAAGGAGCCTACAAGAAAACCGGGGAAGGACTTTTTACAAAGGCAGGTAGTGATAGAACAAGGGGAAATGGCTTTAAGCTGGAAGAGGGTAGGTTTAGATTAGATATTAGGAAGAAATTATTTATTGTGAAGGTGGTCAGACACTGGAACAGGTTGCCCAAAGAAGTTGTGGATGCCCCCTCCCTGGAGGTGTTTAAGGCCAGGTTGGATGAGGCTTTGAGCAACCTGGTCTAGTGGAAGGTGTCCCTGCTGATGGCAGGGGGTTTGGAACTAGATGATCTTTAAGGTCCCTTCCAACCCCAACCATTCTATGATTCTATGAAAATTGTGGTTTAATTTATAAACTTGCGATAAAGGCCAAATTAACATGCAAAGATAAAATAAAAGAAGTTGTTGAATATTTAGAGCCAAACAAGACTTTGACAAGAATATTATTGTTTTTTTTTTCTGTGTAAGTGCATTATACAGTTTCATGTATAGTTGAAGCGAGTACCATTTTATTGTGAATTTAAAAATTACAATCATAAATACAAAAAACCTATTTTACATAAACATATGTAAATGCAAAGCTTTTTAGGTCTGTAGAATTGAATGACTTGTTATCTTATTCAAAGAGCAGATCCTTGTTAAAATAAAAATCATAAGAACAAAACTGCTTTAAAATTTTATTAATAGCAGGTTGCTAACGATAGTTCTTGATTTCTACTACTTGTAGATTAAAATAATCACTGCTACAGTGCTGTTTGACGGATGTTGTGGACCATGAGAATTCACTAGCTTGGGAAGGCATTTTGGAAATTTGGAGTCTTGAAAGGAAATTACATTTTTGCTTTCTGAAAAAATGTCCTTTGATCACTTCAAAATAGCTTGGTTTATACTGTTTTGAGAATTAATACTTTCAATTATTATTATTTTTATTAAAGTATTTCCTTTTTGGAGATATGCTCTGTGGATATTGCGTAATTCAAGAATTCTCCAAAGCCCATAACATCAATGGTTGAACCTCTGTTAATCCCTTCTGGGACTCCATATTGATTTTGTGATTCTGTTGCAATACTCAGGTAGGTATCACCCAGAGATTACGGTCTGTAGGAGCAGAGCCTGATGCCTCTCGTTAAGAGGAGAAACTCCCAGCTCCTGCTAAACTCACTGGGCTGGTGCCATAGATGCTCTGGGCTTGTGCAGCTGACGAACGTGCCAGGACAGAGGGGCAGGGATGTCTGCAGAGCTGTTAACACAGAGCAGAGAGCTGAGGAGAATCTGGACTGAAAATGGAGATTCTGCCTAACAGGACTTGTAAGCTCTGTGGGGGTGTTTCTTCTGATAAAGCTTCCATATGGCCCTCAATTCTGGCAGCTCATCTTAGCCTATTTGGAGACTAGATCCTGAATAAGACTTCCTTCTGCTTTCTGGTACTGGCTACCTACTGCTTACTGAAACTCACACTACACATACATATAGAAACCATGCCATATTATTGCTATATCAATTACTACTGATCTTTGCAACCATATTTGAGGGGTTAGTTTCTTTGGGAATAATCTAATCTACTACAAAAATAGAAAGTAAAAATACATACATTCAGCTATTCTAAACACTCTCATAGTAATTATTGAGTAATTATTTTAAAATAAAAAAACCCAACGAAATAACAACAACAAAAACAAAACCAACAGCCCTGATAGGTTTCAGGCTTTTAGAATTTTATTTCTAAAGGAAAATTTCAGAGAAGGAGTAGTAGAGAAAATTAAAAGCAATGGAAGGTATTGTTAAAATGTTACTAGATAAATTATAAATAGTTGAAAGTCCTCCAAACATGGAAAATAAAATGCTAAAAATTCAAAAGTGTAAAAATTTATTTGTTCTATGTTTCCAGCTTTGTTCAAGATTCAAGAAACCTCAAAGACTGTTTTCCAACAATGAGTCAAATCCTGGTTCCAGAGGCATATGGTGGCATTTTTGCAAATGCAATCTGCAGAAAGGGGATTTGAGTTCCGGACTCTCTTTTCTCACAAGTTCTGATCTGCCTTTCTTATACACGTGTAAGTGCAAGCTCCTACAGGGATCATCACCAATGTAAGTTACTGTAAAAATCAAAAGCTCCCAAAAGAAACAACAAAATAGTGACCCTCTGTTGTCAACTGGAAGCGGTCAGATGTCAAAATAACTTCAAAAAACAAGGTAAAATGGTTTTCACTTAATGTAATGGATGTTAAAGAAAGCTGGCTTATCAGTTTTTGATCTAACAATGAACTCTGACAGGCTACATCTGTATCACTGAACTGAGGACCAACGCTGTGTTTCTAAAAAATTAGTGCATGCCTTGGCTGGATCCTACCCTAACTGTATCAAGACCAGGCACACATCAGCCTCTTCCACTTCTTGTCAAAGGTACAACTAAGAGGACCCTGGAGTCAAGGGTGGTGGAAAGATCACTCTAGCACTCTGTTGGGATCCTGAGCTGTGTGATGTACCTCATAATGCACCTGCAGCAAACAAAGGTAGCCATAACTCTTTGTGCTGCAGGGTATATAAGTATTTTAATATATAGCTTGTGTTCTTTATCTCAAATGAAAGGTGTCTTTTGAGCTTTTGCTGGTGATGGACCAGAAACTTGTGTGGGTTATTCCTCATGTCACTGTCTGACACCTGCTGCACAAAGACTGATCGAGAATTACATATTTCAAGACTTGACAAAATACTACAATATTGCATTTCACAGTTTCATTTAATGATGTTTCACTGAATAATTTAACAAAAATAAGATTGCAAGATGAAGGTTGACATGAGCATATCTACAGCCTCCAGTATAACTGATACTAGAGGGTTTAGAATGGCAATATTTTCATTTTCTATCTTTGTTGTTTTTTTTTTTTTTTCAAATCTTAATTGTGAATTTCCTAAATTGACTTATTAATATTTGTAATTCTTTTAAACCAATAGCTATACACACACACAGACATATACAAATAAGTACAATTTCATAGTAACTGCTCTTTTGAAAAAGAAAAAATCCCTTAAGGACCAAAGTGGGAATACAGTTTATTTCCTTGTTAACATCCCTTAGTATATTTCCCAGGAATGAAGGAGTCATATAGACAGTTAAACAGGTAATTTCTTCAGCATTGTCTCAACACCTTGTGTAACACTTGGTGTTATTCAAGCAGCATTAAATCTTCAGATGTGTAGAAGCTGCAAAAGGAAGACAGTGCAAAGGGAATGTAGGCAAAGGAATACAAAACCCCTGCCTTTCTAGGACCTTATACCAGTACATGTGGTCCAAAAAGGGGCTGCATCTGTCTGAAATGAGTAGGCCAGACCTAAAGACCAAGTATTTTTTAGTCCTCCACACCTAAGATTGAGTGTAGAGCACCACGCCTTGGCTTGTGTGCTTCTCCAACAACTTAGCTTTAGAAGGAGAGATAAACCTTTGGGAAAACACCTCTAGCACTTTCCACTTTTTGGTCTGTTAGGTGATGATCATCACAGCTAGTCAAGTCCATTTTTATGTGTAATTTTTCCTTTCCTATTTGAATGGATTTATAATTAAATACTATTAAAATTCTGAAGAATTCCAGACTAAAAGAAAAATCAGAACTAGCCCAATCAGTCCAAACATCACCATTTTCTGCAAAGAGCATGTATGTATTCATGCATGCACACTACAGAAAGAAAGCAAGTAATGAAACTCTATTAATGTACAGATGGAAGTTTATATTGATTTCAGCAAAGACCAGAACATAATGGTAACATGAATAACAGATAATAGCATCTGGCACTTTTAACATTTTTAAGCCCTTAAATCTTTGGAGAACTGACAGTTGAACTAACTGACAGCTCTAGTTATTTCTCAGCGCTTTCCTTTTGGAGAGATTTTGAGCTTTTTCCAAATTCAGTTTTTTTTTTTTCTAAGGGGGCATCTGGACAGGCTATTTTGCTGAGAGAGAGAGAGACAATATTTTCTGGAAATTACCACCAAAATTAAGCAACTGTTGTGCATATGAACCAGATAACAATAAATTAGAAATAGATATAATCAGTAATTTTCTTTGCATGAAGATAACTGCCAGTCTTAGATTTACAAAACAGAGCCTCTGGCCCTGAGATCACTGGACATGTTAAAGCTCCCTGGGATGGCAAAAGCTCACATCAGAGGTCTGAGGCCAGATCCTCAATGAGGGACAAATTGCACAGTGTCAAAGCACTGAGTACAAGGGGCAAGAGTGCCTGAGCACAGTCATTTATGTCCTGTCAGGTAGCCCACTGATGCCTCCAGCTCCCTGTGCCAGTAAGGGACAGGGAAACAGACAACCACCCATCATGGCCTCCCAAAAGATGAGCAGGGATTGGGGGGACATGGAGGTGCTCCTGCCATGGCTCTTTTGCTGAGCTGCAGTGGCAGCAGGGAGGAGGAGCAGCAGGACAGGCCCTCTGCCAAGTCTTCGACACCAATTGATCTCCTGCAGTGAGACTGTTCTCTCAAAGCTGGATGTGTTTCCTCATTATGCAGCATGAATGGGGAAGAGCCTGAGCCCTCAGCCTCCCACCTTGTGTCAAACTCACTCCAAACCCCTGGTACAGGGATTGTGCTCTCATCGCTGAGGTAAGGAGCATCATCACCCCCACAGAGGTGACTGCAAAGGGCTCTCCAAGACAACCCAGCCTCCAAGAAATGATCCTTTGTGGTGGAAGATGTTTCAGTGGTCACATTAGGATGGACTACCCAGTGCTGATAGATTTTTTTTCTTCACACAACTAAATTATATTTTTTATTTCCAGATATTTTTGGAATTGGAGGCCTGGATTGCCTCATGTCAGCCCTAAATATATTTACCTCTATGTCTTTTTTAAATACCAGTTTTTATATTTGATTAAGATATAATTATGCAATAAATATAATGCTCAAATACTATTATTTGATATAGAAAACCAAATAGGGAGGAAAAGTATTTGAAGCTGCATAAAAACTCCAATTTGGGACATATTTTAGTCTGCTTCAGAAAGCTATCACTTAGGCTTGTGGATGTTAATAACCAAGATTTTATCTAATTAGCCTTTAAAGGTGCTAGTGGTCCCTTTCTGATTTAAGAAAAATGCAAGCAATCTATATTTTGACAGCCAGGCTCAAAAGAAGAAAATAAAACCAAACTCACCAGCAAAATAGAAGAATAAGAAAGACCATAGGAGACTAGGATAAACAGACATGAAAGAGCAAAACAGAAACAAAACCAAAACCCAGATAATTATCAAATTCGAGGTGGTAATCTAGAAGATTAGTCATAAAAGTCAGAAAATTACTAAGTAAAAGTATTCACTAAAATTTTAGTTACTCATCTTTATTCCTGCAACAGCATTTTTGAATTTGGGCTGTTATATTTCCTAGGACAGGTTGAAAAGAGAAGACATCTCCATATAATCAACTAGTTTTTCTGTGTTGTTTCCTTATTGGATTTAAAATATCACAACTAGTGGAAATTATGTCCATATCCTCTTGTGCTACTTTGTGTAATCAAAACCTTCAGGAATTCCTAACAATTTTGTACTTCTGAGTTTGTGTTCTCAGACTGTCTTCTGGGCCACTGGAGTCACTAGTGAGATCTAAGACTCACTGGCAGAGATTTCTTGAAGTAAGTTAAATGTAAAATAAAAAAGTTTCCACTGAAAGAATATTGCAAGCAAGATTCTAAGCATGTGTTTAAATGCTTAGATAATGAGTTATGTAAAATTATAAAAAGTTCTTGTGGAAAAATTACTTTTTGTTTCTGCATGAAAAAAAAAAAACCCAACAAAAAACCCCTGCCTTGGTTTGGTTTTGGTTTTGATTGTTTGGGGTTTTTTTTGTTTGTTTGGGGGGTTTTTGAGTGTTCCCTTGGACACTTGGATGTATGTGCTACGGGACTGAGGCACAAAATTTAAAAACCAGTGGCTAATGGCAGATACTTTTGGTTTCCTTTCTTAGAGACTTACCGACATTCACAAGTAGGCTCTCATAGCAAGATTTTTCAAAGTGAGTAGTAATTTTTTATGACACACCCGAGGCCATTAAAACCAGCTCAATGTTTACAAACCTCTACCTGTGGAAATTGATTCCCTTTAAACTGCACTGGATTGGTCACCCCAAAGACCATCATATGGCCGCTCATCAAAGGGAAAAAGTCACTCAGAAACTGAAAAAATACCTCTTTTTCTTCTTCTTTCCTGCCATGGGTCTTGCTGTAGTTGATTGGTGTATCCCAGCCTTCCTGTTCACAAAGAGCCTGATAGAAGGCTGCATTTACCAAGATGCTACTTGTTTTGAAAGGAGAAGAAGAAGGAGTGGGAAGTGCTGAGCTGGAAGTGAGAGGTATAACTTTGTCTTGGCTTCGGTTCTTTTTCATGCTCAAATCCAGAGTGCCATTTTCATCCACCTCTATCTCAGCTCCCTGACATGCAACAGGAAACAGAGACATGTTTAGATATGGAAATACTGAGGCTGCAACATAACCATGTGGTGCTTTTAAAGGATAAATATAAAAGCATGCTTTTATTTAAATGTATCTGAATCTAAAACCAGCTTTTCGATTTAGATCAGTTAATGTCCAACTCTAAGGCAGACTTAAGAGTGGCTGCAGTAATGGTATCCCTGCATCTCAGCTTAAACATAGTAAGTAGCATTTAAATAAGATGCCTCTAAACCCTAACCTATACCCCCTAAATCTAGTTTTATTTAAAAAAAGTTCAGCTTTAAATCTTTTTGATCTTTTCACTCTTACAGAGAACTATGACCCCAATTCACAGTTAAAAGCATTAATGCATTGTTTAGGTCATCAACAGCATTACTATTACATATCCTCCCTTCCCCCCACACCCCGGAAACATTACAGCATCTGCATCATGTGGGAGAGAAAAAGAGTGGAAGAAATATGCCTAAAAGTAGCACAGTAGGAGAAATTTTCACTAGGTTTTTGTACATCACTCAAAATAATATATTGTCTTAATCGTTGTTTGACCAGGCCACTAAGACACAAGTCTGCACTGAGGCCACTAGATTGGGAGCCACAGGAGGATCTTTAGGAGGTTCTCCCTGATGGAGACCTTCAGAATGAGTTAGCAAAACCTTTGCTACCTGGGAAGTACAACAAAGAGCAACATCTGATTGTAGGGATCTGTGCAGTCTGGGAAAAGACCCAACTTCTCTTTCCAGGCTGGGAGAAGCTCTCAGAGGAGCTCCTGCTCACAAGAAGAGACAAGTGCCACTCAGCTGTGCAAGCAGAAGGAAACAAGGGAAGAAAAGCTCTTGGTTCTGCCTTACACTGACTACAGTGTAAGGCAGAACCACAGAAAAAGAGTACAAACTCCTCTTCTTGGAATGATGAAAAGCTCCTGAAAGTGCAACTTACTAATGGAAGAAACAAAAATTTCCCCCTCATGCTCAATGTGCAACACAGCATAACGGCAAACTGTTTATATAGGGATGAGTATAAGACTAGTCCTTGCTATTGCCAACAGTTACTAAAATCAAGTAGGGGAAGAGGTGAAAGTAGCTTCTGGAGGAGGACTTGGTAGTCTAGTTCTGTGTGTTGCCCTGAGTAAGGTGGAAAACATTCAAAGACTGTAGACATCAATTAAAATGTCACAGATTACACATGTAGAATGCTGTAATTAACACTGTTCTGTGTCCTCCTGTTATTTTCATCATTACTATTTTTCATCTGCTTCACCACGAATCTCAGATAACAGTTGGGAATTTAGGGCTAGATATGTTAGGTGCTGTATAACTGTAGGAGAGAGTCGTATAAAACCAGATTGAGACTTCCTACCTTGGGTTATATAAAGGTAAACCAGTAGCGGAAATGAATCACCTAGACCTTATGTTGTAAATGGAAAAGAGACAGGTATGTCCAGGGGGAAAGTATTTCCATCTTTCTTAGACCTCTTCCTCGGGTAGAGATGAGACACTGGCAGAAAGAGTCCCTTCTCTTCCTTCCAATTAACCATTGCTGTAGCTTGATGATTAGTCAAGATAGGGTGGTGAAACGTATCCTTGCTTGAGGACCTTAAAAACAGTTGTGGTCAAACAGGGAATTCTTCCCTTGTGCTGAAAGTGTGACATGGCCACTCCCATTGGACTGAAGGCACAAGCTTCCTTCATGCAGCCTCGTCTTCTACCACTGCCGGTTGGGACTCAGTTAAAGGTAAAATGTGTCTGACGAAATATTTTTAATCAGAAGGAGAACGTTGGTAGAAGATGAAAATTTAGGGCCCAGCAATCTCTCCTCACCCAGGCAGCCTGACTCCATTTGGTATCCATGAGCCTAAGACAGATGCCCACCTAGACTGAAGCACTACCAAGCCATCTGCTTGCCCCCTGTTCTGAAACTCAGGCACCTCTTATGCTTGTTTCTCTTGCACAGCAAAGTTCACATTTTCAATCATACAGCTTAAAAAGAGATGTTTTATTGTATTTATGGGAAGTAAATACACTTCTAATATGTTCATACTAAGACGCTTTGGTTATATCTTTCTGCCCCTTTTTAGTAAATAGTTTAATCTCCTGTGATAGTTTTAAGCCCTGAATTTGACAGCGCAGCTTATCCTGGATAATAACTTAGTAACCACAACATCTTATGCCATCTGTATAATATCAAATACATTTTTATACCAGCATTAATAAACCTGAGTTACAAAAATACAAGATATTAACTATATCAGTGCCAAGCTCACACTCCAAGATCTGACAATATAGCTCTGCCATGATTGTTCCAGTGTTTTTTGGCTTCAGTAGTTGATGTGTAACTGTAGCTATGAAACAGAGCTACAGTAATCAAGTTTAATGACCAATGTAAAGTAAAATGCTAAATATTGTAGTTGCTGACATTTTTCATAATAAAAAAACTTGGGTTAAGTCTGGACAACCAACATTGACATAAAATTCCAGACCTCTGTGACAGATGGCTTAGGAAAGGAAGCCATGTGACTGGGCTACAGTAGTTTTATAGTGCAAAACCCATAAATAGTGCAGATTCTCTGCCACTGATGAAATATCAACTATTCAGAAGGCAACAGTGACAACAAAAAAGGAACAAAACCAGTCAAGGCCCCCTCCTCAATGAAACTGGACATAGAAAAATATCAGGAAATATGTTGTCTCTGAGAAACAGATGCCATTAGCTGCACAAGGAGCTCTGGCTGATAAGCAGAACATTTACTAACATGGATATTTAAAACTTCCTCAGGAATTCATGTAGAAGTTGGGTTGTCCAATGTCTACCTAATTCTGATCAGGGAAGGCTGTGTTGTGTGTTTGTGAAGTACCGTACAGATGGGGTTTAAGTGAGCTCACAGATGCACACAACAATTAAATATAGTCATGGATAAAATATCCCATTTTGCCCATCACAGGATGATTCTCATGTTTACAGCATGGCTTTTTATTCAGAATGGTATAAAAGAGCTATCACTTTGCTGCCTTCATAACAAACTCCAAATGGCAGAGCAAAAAGACAGAATAGTCAGATACTGCTCATTTTCATTCTTACTTTCATCCCCCCCTCCTCTCAATATGTCTCCTTTGCTTGTTTTACCATATTTATTTTTACATTAATTTTAAAATTGAACTAAAAAGACAAAAATGGCGAATGAAAAAAATGCTAGAATGGTGCTATGACATGCTCAAAGAAAATGGCACTTCCTATGCTTAACTCAAACTTGTAAAGGCTGTATTCTCCTCAGAATAAACAAGACCTTATTACTGTCAACTTTAGTGCATGCGTGAACAGGCCTATATTCATCCATTTACCATGACATGTTTAAAATACAGCTATCAAAATGATGTAAACTGTTCTGGGTCTTCCTTCAAAATGTAAGCAAAATAATGGTGCAAATGTATCTTATTATTTCCTAATATATTAATTTGCAGCTGTGTAAATCTTTGGAATCTGATTTTGATCTTATTTACATTTACATTTACAGTGGTGTAAACAAGGAAAAAATCCACTGAAACATTGAAGAAAAATCAATGAGGCTGAGTTAAGTTCAGGTTACTTCTTATCCACTCCCACATCAGTGACAGTGTAATTATCCTTACAGGTTTTACAAGAAGCTGGAAAAAGGATTCCAGAATAAAAAATGAGAGAAAAATGACTGAAGCATATTTTCTTTATTCCAGGATCTATTAAGTGAAAAGATAGGGTACAAGTAGCCCTCTACTGTTAATATCTGTATAAAATGGAGACTAATACAAATATGTAAAAAAAAAATAAAAAAGTCTCTATCCTCTTCAAATTCTTTACACTTTAAAATGAAGCTTCTTCAGCCTCCTTTATTTTATGACATAAATATTACAGAATATTTTCTAGTACGTTATTAAATCTTGTCCTTAGAACTGAACTACATCAGCTAGGACAATAAAGGATGCTGGTTTTTTGTAACAAAATACTCCTGCATCTTTGCATATGCTTTTGGTCCATCTGATCATTCACAACATTTAATACTCTGCAGTATGTTTCCAGTAACCATTACAAGTTAAGCTTCATCTCATAGCTGGATCAGAAGGAGTAAATTATTGTGTCTGCATGAATCTTATTTCAAACCTGTGACCTTAGGGAGATGGTATCATTACATATGAGGGATTTTATGTATTCTTTTGTTGGCATCAGCCATACAACTTAATACCACATAAGTCCAAAGAAACAACATTATCAGTAATGTTGCATTCCCACTAGCAGTTCAGTCTAGTTTGGGAAGCTCAAAAAAACTCGTCAGTTCTGGAATTGGGAGTAATTCTGAAACTAGTATCTTGCCATGTGTGCGGATACTATTTTTAAAGCAGCTCCATTCAAAACAGTACAGTTCTTTATATTTCCAAGTGGTCTGCAACCCTTCAGACTTAAATTTAAACAATTAAATTATTCTGCAGCAAATTAAAATGCTAATTTGTGTCAAAATAAGAGAAATTTTAACTGCCCAGCAGCATCTGAGACAAAAAGGAAATCACTATTTCAGCCCAGAGCAATTCACAAATTTAAAAAAGCTAGTCAAGAATGTACTCAAGGAGCAATATGCACAGCAGTATAACAGGATGACACCTAGTGATATTCTTGGCTGATTTTCATCCTGTATTTAGGCTTTAAGGTATTCGGAGTAAAGGACTGCCTGACAAACGTACTGACTACTAACTACATTATTGAAATAATTGATGTAATTATCACCATCATCAATATCCAAGAATGGAGAGGTGACATAATTTTGTTCAAAAATAGATTTTGGACTTTAAACATTTTTAACAAGTGTAATTTTTGTTTTCTTTCAAGGCATAATGTGCATATGTCATTTTGTCTAAACAGGTGGGAAAAACACCAAAACAGTCAACAAAATATTTGGCAAGCAGAAGCGACGAGGATACAGATAAACTGTATTGCTTGCAGCTACCTCTGTGAGACATGAATGTGGTAAGGGCTGTGAACAGGGAAGATCCCTGGATGTTATGAGGATATAGACTCTTACACTGTGCTAGAAACTACAGGCTAAGCCTTCTAGGGTATTTTTCCTTCTAGGGGAGTCCTTTTGTTGACTTCAATGGGAGTTGAATGAAGCTACATAAACTGCAAATCGAATGTAACTAGGAGACTGGTTTGGGGTACTGACCACATGAGAATTGGTAAATCAGGATTGTATTCAGGATAGCAGTTTAATTACAGTCCCAGGTGGATATTGAATGGCTCAGGCAACCTAACATTAATGCGGTATTAATAATTTTTCAAAGAAGTGTCATCAAGGTATCTGATGATCGTAGTATTTTGTATGCAGCTGATAATTCATTGAGAAAGCTTAGGTTTCATTTTACTGCTTGTTTTAGAATAAGTTTATTCTTTAAATTGCTTTGAGTTATAAAATCATAATTTTCCTCTTGAGATATTTGGCAGATCACCTTTGTATACTGGCTCTTTTTGGAAGTTTTGCTTACCTATGGTACTGTTAATGTGTAATCTGATTTCTCTACCCTTGCTATGTTTCTCTTTCTTTTTTCAGCTTACACTCTCCCTTTTGAACTGATACATAAAGAATGTGAGATATATATTTTAAATTCCATTAAATTAAAGGAGTTTGGAACTCTGCTGTAAAAATACATTTACTTTTTCATTTAAGTGTTATTTATATTTACTGAAAAGTGTTGAACATTTAAAGTAAAGCATACAACTCTTACTAAAAATTGGACAACACTCTGGAAGTCAAGCAGTAAAAAATGAGAGACAGAAAGAAAAAAAAAATACTTCAGGAATACACTTATGATAGAAAATGTTTTGGTGTTTTCTCCACCTGTTTAAGCAAGGTGACACATGCATGCCTTGATCGAATACAAGAGAATGACACTTGCTTGAAATGTTTGAAGTTCAAGTTCTGCTTTTAAAACTTAGAAGCACAGTATTTTTACAGCTCTGACAATTGTGTAACTTGTAAAGGATTTCCTGCCAGTCCAGGCAATCCTTTGCAGTCCCACACATCCTTGCTCTACCACCACACTGCCTCCCACCTGCAAAGTGTCATGGCTTGGATTGCTGGGAGGCTGCCTGATGCTCATGTAAGTGCAAATACCTTTACAAGTCAGATGCTTTGATCTGCCAAAGTATGGACAATGCTAATCAGGTTTTCTTAGGCAAAGGAACAAAGGATATGAGGCAAGAGGCAGGCCTGAGAGGTCTGATACTATGGGACTCTGAACACAGCCACCCCACACAGGTATTTTCAGACCTGGTGAGTGTGTGTGCTATCAAGAGTAGGAAAAGGAAATAATTAACTCTGTAGCTGAGCCCAAACACTGATAAAGTCTCAAGAGCTGCTTCTTGCCATCTGAATATTTGTAAAATATTCTAGCAGTTAAACATTTACCTTTGCAGCCAATACCAGCCACAAAACAATTCAGAAACACCGATAAATAGTAGTCTCTTTAAAAATAACCTTACTCTTTGCTTCATATTTTAAAATAAGAAAGCGTCTTCATTCGAGAGTGTTTGGCAATTTATTTCCACGATTTTTTGTTTGAATCCTGTATGATAAATACAATAAATAGCCAAAACCAAATAAAAATGGGTTTTGTGTGGTTTTGGCCACCAGATCTCTTTGGGACTTACTTGCCTGTGTTCTGGCCAGAAGCTAATTCTGATTCTTCTGTCAGATGTTTTGTAGCAGTATGCCCTCCAGAAAGTCTGGCAAAAGTGGAGGCAGGCAGATAGCAAGGTATGCAGGTGATTTTCTTTTAAGCTGGATTCCTGGCTGTGAAAAAGGAGTAAGCTATGTGCCCCAAGTGTCCCTCCATATCGTTAGAGTTATGTTCACTTCCATTCAAACCTTCCCCATGATTTGGCAACTGTGAAGCAGGTATGGAGGAAAAAATCTTTGGGTTATGCCTGGTCCCTTTACTGCTCTTCTCTGGCAAGAAGGCCTGTTGCAGAGGTCAGCCAAAGGCTGTGGCAGCAATTTAATCCAGGCATTGGCATCAGTTTCCATTTCCCTGTTAGAAGAAGTCTCTATTGATGACCAGTGGAAGGAGCTTTCTGCAGCAGATATTAGGGATGGGTCTGTCATCTGGAAAAGGTTCTGTGAGCAATCTTTGGGACAGATGATATCTGAATTACAGGGGAGGCAATAAAGTCTACCCTACGGTATCTCCCAACATCGGTTTGAAGATGGAAATCAAAGGCAGCAATATAGGGGATACCACTCTGCAAAGGAGCAAGGCTTGGAATACCTAACAAGGTGTTGCACTGGTGATGAAATTAATGGTTCCACTTACAGAATAACAGTTAATCTCTTCATGATGGTGAATGAAGGTCCAACCAAATTGTAGACCAACAGCTGTGGAAGCCACCTCTAGCCAGACTGAGCCTGATGCTAAAATAGACAAGGTAGAGCGACACTGACTTGCAGAGAAATAGGTCATCTGTCTTTTGGAGCACACATCATGGCTCAGAGTTCCACAGACGAAACATGCCTGCTACTCTGTGTTTTGATAAACACACCTCTTTTCCCTCCCCAGTGATTTCTTCCCAAGTTCTTGTAATGGCACCCTCTCATCTACACAGAGCTTTAAAAAGTTTTATTGCAGACGAGCATGTGTGACTTTAATACGAATAATAAATAACAGTGATCCCGCAACCATGATCATCAGAAGAAAATCCTATCTATTTTCATCAGCAATATAATACTATGTAATGACACAGAAAATAAGGCTCATGGCTCACACAGTACCATTTGTAAATCATAAAGATCTGTGAGGAAACGCAGAGCAGAAACCAAAGCATGAAAGTCACACAAACATCTACAATATTAGGCAGCTTTCCATTATGACAGACTTGCCCAAATTATCTATCTCCAAACGCTGTTGGCCTGATTCTCCTCTCTTGCCAGCAGAAAGGAGAATTTTACCGAAGCCTGTTGTTATTTCCCTCTCTACACCTTGTCAAACTGTCATGAGCTCCAAACACAACAGACTCAATAGGTGCAGTTCTGTTCCATTGCTAGTAATATCACCTTGATTAATCACATTTCATTTATTTATTTATTTATTTTAAATCAGCCTCCAGAATGATCATTTATGGCAGGTTTCAGAGGGAGGAAAATTCCCTCTTTAAACAGATCTTACACATTATTCACCACAGATTGTTGCTAGATTTCAAATTACCTTCTTCTTTCCTCACACAAAACTCCCCCCCTTGTATTTAGGGCTTAATTATGAAAAGAGTTAACAACACAATTCTTGCTTTTTTTTATTTTTATCAGAACTGGTCACTATATTACTGATTTTTTCTCTGTCTCTCTTCAAAAGAGCATGCAAACAGAAGCCTTCTATTTGAGGATTTAATGCAATCACTAACATGAAAGACAGTTTATTCGCACAGTTCAGTAGCTAGCACACCCTCCAGGTTCTTGGACTACCCTACCTTGGCAGACAGACTCTGTGGTTTGTTGGAGAGGATCTCTGCTGCTTCCCTGCAGCGGGTGGAAAGGTTCAGGATAGCAGCAGCTGCTGCTATGTGGGTGTCTTCACTACATTGACCGTAGCTATAAGAGTTGGCATGGCAAGGGCTCTGTGTGTGGGCGCTAGCACTAGGCAGTCGATTAGAAAATTTCGCTGGATTTGAAAAATGCTTTGCTGTTGAAGAGAGATTTGATTAGCAATTGCACGCATGAGATTTTCCCCCATTAAATAGTTTTGTTTCTCAGAATACAATTTCATACATTAAAATATTCAAAGAATACATTTTAAACAATCAATTTCTTACTGTCAGTAAGGGTTTGTTATAAAAATGGCTTCAGAAGCATGATATTTTCTTTTACCTGACACATACACCTTTCAACAAAGCATCTGATACTTTTACTCAGATTTTACTCATTCTTTACTCAGATATTAAAAACAATGATATCCAAGGAAAGACTGAACAAACATTAGTGTGTTATCCATTGTGACCTGACAACACTGGTGGGCAAATGCAATTGTAAATGTATCCTTATAAAGCACAGCTTCCTCTTGGAGCTCTATTGCATTAAAAAAACCCAAAAAACAAAAAATAAACCCCACGACCAAAACCAGTGGCTTGTCTAGTCTTAGCTAAAACAACACAGCTTGTCCTAATTAAATGAATATGTTATTTAAAAAACTTTTCTTATGTCAGTAAGGAGAACAAGACCAGCCTCCTGAATGAAGCAGAACAACCAGATAAGAACACTACCTTTTAGGAATATTTAGTCCTCATTTAATGGAAATTTTTAGAAATTTAAGTCTACTCTTTAATCAATTAAAAAAAAAATAATGACAATGAACATTCAGAATAAAACTGGCCTCAACTCACTGTCTTACACTGGCTATCATTTGGAATAATACACAGATTTATTAGACACAAAGAGGTCAGCTGAGAATGAAAAACTAAGATGTGAACAGAAAAGTAATTTCACAGACAAAAATGGTGTGTGTGGTTCTTTGTTTTCTACTCCATCAGCAGCACTCGCTTTAAAACAGGTAGAAATAACTCTGCTCTCTCTTCTGGATTTTGGAGCTTGAGATATCATTACTTGTTGCAGGGAAAACATGGCACCATAATTTCAACTCTTAGGAAGCAATAATCACTTCTTTTGTCTGTAGCTCTCTCAATGTTCTACAAAGATAAACTAAGCAAAATCCAATTTCTCAGCCTACACTCAGATACACCAAGAACATTTCTGTGTACGGCCATCTGCTCACTCCATAAAGATCTGAGCCCCAAGGCTCTGGATCCCTTTGGATGTAGAGCTTTGGTTGGGTGCATTTTAATGTTAAGACCTAGACAAGACATTGAAGAACTCATCTTTCCTCAAACTTGGGATGCTCTAAGAGAAATGCTTGTTTGTGTGCACTGACTGTAGCTGAATGCCATATTCAGTTTTTCTAAGCGAACTTCAAATTATATTTAAAGAGTAAAAAAGTGAATTTTCCATTACCGACCCTAAAAGATTAAAAAAAAAAAAAAAAGCAAGCTATGAAGGGTGCATGTTTTGTTAACAAATCAATTTATAAGTGCAGAATCTGCAGACAGTTAATGATGGGCTGCTGGCTAGCTACATATTTACATAGGAACTGAACCAATCAGTACATCAGCAGCTTCTTATTGCCAACTTTTGTATATTTGTATAGTTAAAGCACTCACCTGCTCTTTTACTTTCACCTTTCCATTAAAATAATAGCTGCACACTGCAATCTTTGCAAGAACAACACACTGTAAACTTCAGCCCTGATATACATTATACATAAATTGCATATGTATGGATTTGCATTTGTATAAAAACATTGCAATCATTTTTTCCTTGAAATGAACCTGTGAAATCGACATACATCTGTGCAAAGAGACAGCTAATAAGGAATATTCGATTTTACAAACAAAATTGGAAAACCTGCCACCCAAGGAGCTGGCAATGCATATATTTGCTTTCATTTGAACAAACCTATTTTCCAGGCCAGATAAATATCTACTTTTCATTTGCAATTTTGAATGGAGTATTATATATACAGAAACACATTGATACCTACAGACATATATATATATATGTATGTACTCAGACTCATATACAAATACATAAATAAATAAATTTTATACATACATAAACCATAATATTCTATGGAGTTAGAATTATATTATATGTGTATCTATACATATATTTCCACTTTTCTGTTCACCTTACTATGAATATTTGCCTTTGAAGGGTGCAATTTTCTTTCCTTTTTTGTTCTTCTTTACTAATTTTTTTTGTCATGAACAAAAGAAAAAATAACTAAAGACTCTTTTGTCACATTATTTTGAATCTACTTTCTCCTGAGCCCAAATATGGAGCAATTAAACCTTTTTTTCTGTTTGCCTCATGGCAGCAGAACAATTTGTTTCTTTGAACTAAAGAGTATATTATATTGGCCGATACAGTAGCAGAGTCTTGCTGAAGTTTGCCATGCAGATTGTGAAGTTCATCTGCAATAAATAATCGGTGTTCACACTGTGATGCGTCATTTGTACACAGTAGTACCTCAGCATATCTGTAAGTGATGCAAGCAGGGGAATCTTGATAACAATTTGATGCATTGGATTTGTCTGCACTACAAATACGATGTGATACTGAAATATGAGAGATTGAAACTAATTCAGTGCCTGGAAGTTATACAGCTGAGGCACATGGTCACCTAGGAGAAATAATGCTTATATAGATGCATCTACAAGGTATTTGAAATGTCTTTTAAAACCTAACTTGGATTTCTCTGTACTACAAATAATAACTTCTTGTGCAGACCCATTCCATGGGACTTCTCATGGCAGCATCTTAACACATAGGATATCACAATTTACCCAAGGAGGAAGGTAACAGATAAGACATAAACCATTCCTTTTTACTCCTCTTTTCCCCTGATAATTGCTATTAGCAGAAACATCAAAAAAGTAAACCTTATAGTGATCATATTTAGCATTCTAATGTTCTATATTTAAAAAACTAATGATTATATTTAACATTCTGTCCACAAGTGGTTAAAGATGCTTCCTACAGAGGTTTTTTGAATTCGAGATATTTGAAAGCAGAACAAGTAAAAAAGAAAAAAGAAAAATCTCATTGACATTTTGCCCGTTTTCCAAGAGATAATGAAATTTCAAGCTTACATTCAAGGAACTGGGGTGTTTTTCGTCCTTGTGCCACAGGTGCTACTGTGCGCTTGCCAAAGACTTGTGCATCAAAGCTGGCATAATCAAATGGTACTTTCCCAAACTTCTCCTGTTCTTTCATCAGGATGGCTCTGGAGGAGGTGACTGGCTGTGAAGTTCTGTAATGGTACTGTGCTACCTCAGGTTGCTTTGTTAAATTTGTCCTGCAGAGAGGAGGGAAAGAACGAATGAGAAAGACAAGACTATCTTTAAATCACCTTTTCTTGAAAAATAGGGTACAGTTGCATCTCAGTGTCAGAAAGTGTGCTGTTACCACATATAAATCTTATGGTAGGTGTATACAAGGAAAAAATAATGTAAATATGGTGGCTGACCTAGCAGTCAAAGAGTACTTTAACTTCATACAAGTTCAAAGCTGCGGACATAAAAAAGTCTAGTATTATCTGATAATGGTGTGGACTATTTACAAAAAAGATACTGATTTACTTCTAGATTACCACTGTAGCATGGTGCTTCCTTTATTTCTAAACATTGTCTAGATTTTAGCTAGGCAAAGAATTTGTAATTTTATGGATCACTATTGTTCTTACTTTACTGTGAATTAGTATGGTGTAAATATAATATAAGACAATCCAAAATAATTACTTCTGTTATTTGAGAGGAAAAAATGAATTATGGTGTGTGATTCCACTTAGTTACTGTTCAGTAACTACCTGTCTTTAGTAATTTCCTAAGGACTTTTCATACGTGGAGTTAAGGCACGTGCAGTTGGCAGATACATGGACATAATATTCTGTAATGGCTCTGAAGGAACCATTAGAGCTGATCATGTCAATAATCCACAAATTAAAGTGTCCCCAAATAGACCTGAATATAATAGGTTGTAATGGTCGTGGTGCCAATGATGTGCAAATTATGCATGTCTGTAGGTTCCATATAACTCTCAAACAAAATACAAATGCAATAAAAATGTTTCCCCTTTTTGATGCCATTGTATAAAAATAAATTAAACTAATTAAACCAATAAACTTAAAATAAAGAAACTGAAAATATGAATTATTCAATGGTGAGGAAACAGAATGTGCAGAGTTCTCAATCCTCTCAGGTAACTGCAATGCCAATAAAAGATGCTACTTGGGATCACTGGAAAATTTATCTGAAAAGAGTCACAAAATCAGAGGACTGTTCTGCTAAAAGTGTAATAAGTTCAAAGAGATCTCTAATCAAGTTTCAGTGGCCAAAATATTGTAACAAAGGAAGAGTTCTTGAAAATTGTTTAAAGCATTTCGGTAAGACAGTAGATTCTGTTTACTGGAGAAAGATATTTGAGAACTGTTGATAAGGTTATTTGTGTTGAAGTAAGATCTAGCAGAATATATTTGATTGCTTATCAAAAGATATGTCTTGCTTTTTATGTCAGCCATACTCACAAGAACCAACAGAAAGCTACTTGTTACTTTTGAGATACTGTCAAGACATTTAGCTTTGCAGAGGTTTATCATGGAATACTGACTTACCTCTGTAGCTATGAGAAGTAATTGACAGATTTTGTGCAGAAATACTTTGGAGAGACTAGTGCCTGAGGGCTCCTACCTGTGAGTCTGATCCTGGCACTGCCCAGCTTTTGGAGACTCGAGCTGGTTCTTTTCCTGGGATATTGCCAACTTTTCAGCTGCAGCAATTGGACAACCAGAAAGACTGTTTAAAAGCAAGGGGAAGAAAAGGAAAAAAAAAAAAAAACAATTTTAAAAAAACCCTTAAAACCAAAAACATCACATTAAAATGAAATCTTAAGTAATGGAAATATGTGCTGTGGAACCCAATGACTTCAAACTTCTCTGGTGCCCTGTGCATCTACGGGAGCTGCTGCTATTATAGTCCAGATTCATCTGTTTTTCAACACTCAATGCAAAACTGTGAAATCTGTTTATTTGAGGTGATATATCTGGAAACTGAATCATGTAGGAGTTTTCCACAGTTCAGCTTTGATGTTTTGTGGCTGGCAAGTCACTAGTAAATTTTTTGACAAATTACATTTACTTTATCAGCTAAACCATGCATATAAGCCTCCTGCTGATTAAAAGGAAAGTGAATTTGGGAAAAAAAACAGGAGTATGTGAGCAACTGTTGTCATTTCAAGTTGTGCTTTCTTTTTTTTTTTTTCTTTTTGCTTTATTAGATTAGAACATGTTTTCTTATCCTATTCGTGGGTTGCTTATCATACAGCTGACATACTGCTAAGATGACTGGGGATTTAAAACAGGAAACAGAATGAAAAAATATTTACTGGTTTCTTACATATTCATGTAGATGAGCTTGTAATCTCTTGTAAAGACTAGATTTTTGTATTAAAGATAGCAACATAGTATGATAACCCTTGATTTTGGTGCACTCATACTATAATAAATCAATCAATCAGCAGCAAAAAAAGAAAATACCACAAAAATTCAGTTCAAAACAGAATGCAGGATTCGAAATTTTTCTGTCCCAAGTTTGATTGCAAGATTGACATTATGTTTTTGCAGAAGCACTATAATTGAATATTTTTGCTTGCTGGCTTCCAGCAGAAAGCAGTACTGACAGGAGCTGTGCCGGCAGCAGTGGCTTGCTGGAGCAGAGCGCATCGGCACTGCCTCACCTGCAGCCCAGCTGTGATTCCCCAGCTGCCTGTCTGGAAGGCTATTCTCAATTTTACTTTCTCCCTGCAGGCAGCAAGTTAAACAGACAAGAGCGTTCCAAGTGGGAAGATGACATTCCAGAGGGTGATAAATGGAGTTAGTTTTTACAAGGATTCTAAAGTATTCCACTTAAAATTGCCTGTTTTGCTAAAAGGGATTGTGCCTTGATGGGAAGTTCCTGCCAAGGACTACTATGTATGTCTTGCAAAATGAAGTCTTTGGTTTTCCCTGGGTTTTCCAGTTGTAGCAGTAATAATGCATTTGTTCATTCCTTTTATATGATGGTGTTTCACTGTGAAGACCGTAATGAAATTGTAGTTTGAAATCTCATCTGTGAAAAATACTAGTAGAATTTACCATCTTCAGCACTGCAGCCATTTTTTATATAATGAAATTAAACGCAATTATTTGGTTATAAATAATACAGACTACCCTCGCAGTTCATAGGCATTCTGCAGTGTAGTATGTAACATCTAATTCCAAGATGTGCCCATGAATTTATTCCTGTTAGATTTCAAGTGGACGGGAAATTTTCTGATCTACCTTCTGTGCGTGTTGCGATTGCTGTTGACATGTCCTCTTCCGGTGCATCCTGGGGTGGGGCACTTTAAAACATTTTCATGCATGGCAAGAACTAAACAGTAATAAGAAAAAAAAAGTGATAATAACATATATCAATTAAAAATACACACGTTAAAAATATGGATATTTATTCTTCAGACTCAGATTCTCAATTCTGTTACATTTTGACCACAAAAGAAAATGAGAGGCAAAAGACCTACAACACAGAAAGGCTGGTGCCTCCAGCATATATAAGTTTATCCCTACACTGCTGTAGTGTGGCTTCCCACATGCACATTGTTGTAGAACAACGGCAGAAGTTAGCAAGGATGTTATATCACGAAGCCCTTTGCCTTCTAGTTCACACACAACTGACACAGTTCACTAGAAAAAGCATGTACATTTCTTATGCCCTTTGATGTGGATCTTTTTATTAAGAGTGAGATGTTTGTCTGTGTAAAACAGAATATGTCTTTGTACGTCTGCTCATAACTTCAGTACTGCATCACCCCTTTGGATGCACAATGCTTAAAAAAAGATGACTGTTTAGTGAATCAGTTTTGTTCCGTCAGAAGCCAAATTGAGATTACAGATAATTTTCTGTTTGTTTGGGGTTTGTTTTTTTTGTTGTTGTTGTTGGTTTTTTGTTTGTTTGTTTTTTTTTTGGGGGGGGTGGTTTTTTTTTGGTTGATTTTTTTTGACAGCAGGACAGAACACATCTGATTGGAAGTGTGATAATTAACAAGGACTTGTTAATTTTAACTTTTTAGAAAGTTAATGTTGCTAAAGCCTTCCACATGCAGCAGCCTGCTTAACTCAGCAGATGTTTCCATAAATACAGATTAATACTAGATTTTTTTAAAGAGGGAGAGTTACAGTTGGGAACAGGACATTGGTAAAGTGCAAGTATCCTTTTAATTTTTTGTTATGCATGCCACCACAAAAAACAATCTGATTAACTAGGTTGTTTTTAAATGAATAGATTTTGGCTTATTATGCAGCATTTCATTGCATCACATTGCAGGATTACACACACACACACAAACCAATGTAATCAGATCAACACAGTTAGAAATAAGCAGGGAAATTCAAGCTAGACTGGTCATAAAAGGGTTAGCATGATACAGTCACATGAGAGAGAGGTGCTGTGGACCAGCGCTGGGATGTACTGGTGGAAGTAACCTTTTTGAGCATAGTGGTAAGGGGGAAACTGGAAACATCTCTGAATAAGCATGTCCAGGCCTCTCGGTTATCCACCATGAAAACCAGCAGCCTCGGCATGTGATACGGTAAATCAGGTCACAGCTCTGGAACAAGCAGATGATTTCTCTGCCACATGCCTTAGCAAAGGCACAGGCAAGCAAGATCTTGAAGATTCATAAGACTACAGGTCTGCTGGCAGTGTGGGGGGTGTTTGGCTGTGATCTTATTCTTCCCAGGCCACCTGAGGTGCCTACTTCTGTTTGTAATGCTACTGCTAAGGAGTACTTGAGCTTCATAAGTGTGGGAAGTAGGACTGCGACTAAGAGCTGGAGGACAAAGGAGGTGTGATGGCTCCTCTCTCTGCAATCTTACCCACAAAAAGTGTGTTTCTTCTCCAGCATAAGCACACACTACCCACAATACAAGTCCAGATCCAGCTATTATTCTGGACTGCAGGGTGATGATACTCACTTTCTAGTGGCACTCTAACTTTATGTGGACAGCCTGAGAGACTGCGGTGGTGAGGGTAAAGCCCAGTCACGTGCCCTGTGCCATCACATCCTGGGATGGGACATTTGGTTTCTCTCTTTTCAGGCCTGGGTGAATCTGCAGAGAAATCAGATAAGGATTTTGTTTCTTTTTAGCTCTCATCTGCACTCAGCTGAGTGATCCTAGCAGCATGATACTTTGTTTTGTACTTCAGATGTAATTCCTACACAAAGTTTTAACAAAGATGTATGCAATTTAAACATCTTTAGGATTTCACACTGAGTCCTTTAAACAGTGGCTCCCCCCTCCCAAAATGCCATTTATGTGCTAAACTAGGTAGTGTTAGGAGTGCAGTGTCATTTGTTCCATTCAGAGCCTCAATCAGGACAGAAGCCACAATCCAATGAGCCAGAAAACTGGCAGCACCAGCCAACAGCAAGATCTATAAAGGAATAAATAAAAAAGCAGAAACAATCTTTTACTCTGTTAATGTCAGACTCCAGGAAGCTGGGACGACCAAATAAAAGCTGAGGTGTGAAACAAACAAAAAGCATTTCAACCAGAAGCCATTCCTTAAATATCGCAGATGTCTAGGCTGTATGTTCTTTGTTAGGAAACTGAATACATGCCACTTTACATTTGAGAGGCAAGGCAGGCAGCTCCCTCTGGTACACATGGCAATGTCGCTTTGTGGAACAGCCCACAATGACAGTGAAAACATGGAGCAGCCGATACCCTTTCAAAGGCAAGGTCTCAGCCCAGCCCCACAGCTACCACTCTGTGATGGCCATAGTGTATTTCCAATTTTTGTTTTAAGCATCTAGAATTGTGCAAGAAGCACTGGTCAGAAAGCCTTTATTTGATTTCCAATGCAGGATCAAAATCTGTGCGAGAAAGGAATGAATTCTGGTCCAGAAATTCTCTTGTGAGAAATCTGGAGGAAGTGGCAGCATAAATTGCTGAGGATGGTTTTAGCTCCATCTGTGATTGGCTGCCAACAGCATTCGGCGCTGGGGGAAAAAACAGCTGCAGCCAGCACAGGGAGCAGCCTCCTTCAAGCTCATTTTGTTGGACCATGAGGTAGGACGTGCTCAGGGACAGGATCACCAGAGACAGCTGAGGGTTAAACTCCCTGGCAAGATTTTAGGTACAAAAAAAAAAAAAAAAAGGAAAGAAAATAGACTGAGCATCAACAGGAGACCACATGCTTTTTAGAATCACTGCAAATGGGAAGCACTGCAATTGTGACAGAAAATAAAGAGGGATCCTGAAATACAATTTAATTTTTCCTCCATTAATTAGAAAGGTTTATCATTAAAAAGATGGAAAAATATAAATTTAAGCCATGTTTTCCTGATGTAGCATCCAAGAAAGACAACTAAGAGCTGATGGATTCGGTGGTGGATTTTTTAGAAATAAAAAACAGTTAATTATGTAAAGTGAAAAAATTATGTGCCTGATACTACACTGACTAAAATCATATGGTGTTTATACAACCCAAACAAAGCCTAGTTTGTTCCTCCATGAGTGTTACCTCTAAACTCACCTGCAAACTACAACTAACAACAATATGAGGCAAAACAGGAAGGGTCAGATTCTGCCGTGCTTACCATCACTGCTCCTTCCTATGTGTGTTGTGAGAAACTCACATTGACACCAGTGTGAACCTGATGAACACAGCTGGTCTCAGGATATGAAAAAGTATCTGTACAATTCCTGCATACACCATAGTCATCTGAATAAATAAAGGTTCATGCATTTTAGCAAGGAGGTAGACTAGTACTGTGCATGCACAGATTAAGGCATGCTAATGAAAAGAATTCTTGAGACAGAAAAATTAGATGCATGCATATTCTTCCCAAATATTACAGGAAATATTTTATAGTTGTAACTCCAAAAAAACCTTGTCAGTTATCTTACACATTAAATGCTTTAGTTAACAAAAATACTATAATATTTGCAATGTCCACAGGGACTACTCTAAAGTAGCACTATAAATACCAAAGCAAATTGTTTATCAAAAACAGAAATTGCAGCAATGCAGGGTGACCTCCGAATATTTGGAAGCCTAAAACTGTTACTTACTACATCGGGGAGTGTGCTTATAAAATGACATTTCTTGATGTTCTGTACTTATCCTCAACAGGGGAGTTTAATACAAGACAACAAAGTTTACAAATCAAACCCAAATCTTATAAATCTCCACTTCTGTAAGCCTGATTAAGTAGCAAAAAGGGACCAATGTTCCTGAAGCTTTGTAGGATACCACAAACCATCAAAAACAATAAAGATTTTGGAATTTACTGGTAATTCTGCTGGTGGTGAATGAGGCAGAAGAGCATGGCTTGCGCTTTCCTGGCTCAGGAGTGTTGGCTGTAGCAAAATGTAATGTTGATACATAAAGTAGACTGAACTCAGAAAATATGTGGCTTAGGAATTAGGTGGTATGTTTGGAAGAGGCCAATTTTTCACCCTAACCTTTCCTTAAGCACTGTTTTAATGCCTTCTCTTTTGGCTGCTGAAATTTAGGAGGTATTTATTAGTGCCCTATGGAGGAGGAGGTGGGAGAGGAGGAAAAGGAGGAGGAGTGCCAGTTACACAGCCCTTTTAGTACCTATTACTGATCATTTCACATAGCAGTTTGGCAGGAAGCCAAGTACCTAGCGTTTAACCTGGTTAGATGTAAGGCACTAGTGTAGAGGTACATAATTAACAAAATTACCAGCTAAATTCCAGATTCTTTACTGTTGCTATAAAACCCAGCTCAGAATCCTCTATCAGTCACAGGATAAATGCTTAAACCAGTAAGAACAGCCAAATATTCTTCCTTACTTTTGTTGCTAAATATCTGTCTCCCACCAATGTCAATAACTTTGGTTTGTCTTCTTTCCCCTGCTAGATGCTCCAGAAGAAACCTATCCAGTTCCTTGTAGGTGCTGTGAAACACATGCCCTTGCTCTGCCTGCAGAGCGATTGCTTGTTCTAGCAAACTCAAGTTCCCTTTTGTTTTGTCCAGCTCAACCGACACTTCTGTGGTTTCTGACAGGCACTCGTTGTCATCTTCACTTTCAGGGAAGGTGTTCTGAATTTTCTTCTCGAAAGGATCTGGGTGAGACTCCTGGGGTGCTCTTAGTTCTATTTCTGAGTCACAAAGTGTTTCACAAGGGCCAAATTCTACCTCTTCCTTCTTAATTTCTGGGACTTCCAGGACGCTAGGTTGATTACACTCTAGAATATAGTTCTGAGTTACGTGGGGCTTTACACTAGTTTCTTCTGAGAAATTTGAGGAGCTGTCCCACTCATTGTCCATAATTTCAGAGTTACTTTCATTTTCCTCAGATGAACAGTATTTTGAGTCAGAAATAACAGTCTTCTCCTTTCCTTCAGCTGAGTTAATCAAGTAACATTCATCAGTGTTATCACTTTGTGTTTTTAAGGATTGAATGCCACTATCATTTAGATTTTCTGCCACAGTTTGACTGGGTGCATCTTTTGCTAATTTTCCCATGTTCATCAAAGACTTGGCCATGACATCTTGATAGCTGGAGTAGTTATCTTTTCTTTGACTGGAATTTTCTTGCCCACATGGAATTTCCTCAGCTGATTTTGGAGTGCTTTCCTCTGCATGAGAAAAAAAGCAAGAGAAAAATATGTAAGAATAACTGGTTTTTGTATCTTGCAATAGTGATATGAAGATATTTACTTACTAATTGTCATTTATTTACTCAAAGGTATTCTGAAATAATTTAATTCACACCAAGGCTGTGTTTGAAATGACTGCTTGTAGCATTAGTAAAATCCCCTTTTATATTATATCTACTTTATATTATAGCTGTGGAGTTATACGAAAAATAAATACGTTAGCATGATGGTGAAGAAATCTATTATCTTAGAACACACACACAGTCATGTACACTCATATAAATAATGTGCCATATATAGATATATATGTGTACACATAATCTATATAATATATGCATATATACACACATTTTGAAATTCCTCTGATCTATTTTCACTTTTCTTTTACCTAAGACTCCCAAATATTTTCTCAAAATAGACCCTAATTACTTTCCCAGTCACCCCAGATCCCATGAAAGACCTTGATGGAAAAAAACCTCAATACTTCACAAAGGGCAAGCTCCTGGTCACCACTGCAATTGCCATATTAAGTGATAGATCAGGTCATGCACAGGCAAACAGAAATGGTTGTTATGTACAGACTCATAAAGAACTTGTTAAAGACACCACTGAAGTGCATCCTGTCCTTATAAACATCTTTCTTCAGAAGAAAAGCAGCAGCCAGCAGGTAATAGGGGCTGCATGTAGGAGAGGTTGTCGGTGTGGAAGACAATATGCCTTTTGTATCTCATTTAATTTTTTATAAACATTTCCTCTGACAAGGACACTCAAAAATACATCTCCATCATCTTCCTTTCTGGTAATTATCTCTCTAAAATCAACACTGGTTTGCCAGGATCAAGTAAATATTGCCATAGTAACTAAAAGCATTTTTGGATGAAGGGAAGAATTTAGTCACAACACTAGCCCCTTCAATAATGCTGATTATAGGGTACATTCTTTTGTTGGGATCTATTCAACATAAACTGAAAAATTTAACATTTTACTTCCTAGAAAGGAGGATGAATAAACAAGCACAGACTATTTCATAAGATGTGTCTGTCCTCTCCTGAATCAGAACTCCAGGCTTAAATAATAAATTAAACATAGTCTAAAATGCAAATGAAGTTTCTCTCAATAACACAGTGAGCTATTAAGAGAAAGTGTAAAGGGTTATGATAATTTTAAAGTATTATGAACTACAGAAAACAAATAAAAAGCATTTTCAGTGAATATGTCCAATTCATTGAACTATTCTCTCAATCCACTTAACTACCCACATGTGTACAATAATGATTTATAGACATTATACCTAATTATGCATATTTGGGCTGTGTTAGAGTGCCTAACAAAAGCTCTAGAAAGCAACAATTACCTCTGTTGCTTAGCTACATAGTTTAAAATATTCCTATTAAGTGCAGATTATTGTGGAGGGGAAAAGGGGGACAAAAATGCACATGTGCACCACAATGCATTTCACTTTACTGCTGCCAAACTGTTAGCATTTTGGGTCATTTCCAGTTTACATAATTGTTTGGTTCAACTGTTTGTTATATGTTAAAAGAAAATATTGATTAATTCTTATTCTTCTTCTGAAAATTGGACTCATGCAGGGAGAGGTGGCCTTGTGCACTGTGTGCATAAAGTTGTGTTTAAAAAAAAATGTCTGTAAACCTTAGTGTAACTTTTTAGCAGCTGGTCTAGTACCACACACATTGCAGTATTCTGAATAAAGAAGTATGCTGTCTTTTCACATCTCAGCAAGTAAGAACGATGATTTGGCTCTGTAACCAACTTCAGTCAAATGGGTTTTTATTATTTGCTTTTCTGCCATTTGGAAAATAACAGAGTCCCATCAGTGGGTCATTTCAAAAAGTAAGAAGATCTAGTTTTAAAAGAAATCTCTCACCCTTCAAAACAAAACAAAACAAAACAAAACAAAACACACTTAATGATAGTAACGGGTCTTTTCAGTTATTCTTCTGTTGAAGAAAAAAAAATGTATAAATGCATGATAACAGATTTTTGCTCCTTAAATAATCAGCAATTTTAAAATGTAGTGTTTAAAAATTTGTTGTTGAACCAGACTGAATGGTTCAGCTGTCCCAGCTTTGCTTTTTACTTCTACAGGCTGTAAATTTACTTTTAAAATAATAAAAACTCAACTTAGTCTACGGTTGCATCAATCCGTGAACTGAAGCATTAACTGATCAACAGATAAAGGCTGTTCAGCCTGGAAAAGAGAAGGCTCTGGGGTGATCTTATAGCGGCCTTCCAGTATCTGAAGGGGGCCTACAAGAAAGCTGGGGAAGGACTTTTCCTAAGGGAAGTTAATGAAAAAACAAGGGGAAATGGGTTTAAGCTGAAAGAGGGCAGGTTTAGATTAGATATTAGGAAGAAGTTTTTCACTGTGAGGGTGGTCAGACACTGGAACAGGTTGCCCAGAGAGGTTGTGGATGCCCCCTCCCTAGAAGTGTTTAAGGCCAGGCTGGATGAAGCTTTGAGCAACCTGATCTAGTGGAAGATGTCCCTGCTGATGGCAGGGGGGTTGGAACTAGATGATCTTTAAGGTCCCTTCCAATCCTAACAATTCTATGATTCTATAAGAATCATGGATTCATAATAAATGAGCAATATTAAACTAAGAAATTACAAATAAACCTACATACCCACACCAGCTGTATGTTTTAGCTGAAATTTGGTTTGTAGCCGGCAAAATTAATGCCAAAGGGACAGGTTGTGCTATCAATGTCACAAGCAGTTGGGAGAAATCTCACAGGTATGAAATAAGTCTTTTTGAAATTAAGAGATTTTTTTTCTTTTGACTGAAGGACTGGGTCCAAATAGGGTTGCTCTACATTTATGTCAATGGACTTGGCCCAACACTTGCCCTTTTTTAAAAAAAAAGGATCAATTAAATAACTTATTTTCATCCATATACAACACCAAATTCCACCTTACACCCATCATAGTACTTTCCCTTCGGTGAGTTCTTCAAGCTATGCATAGGACATGCCCAAGGGAGAGAAAAACATATTTCTGAGGGCAGCTCTGGGTGGCCAGAAACCAAGCTGAATCAATACAAGAGAAAATAGCTAAAATCTATATATCTCAAAAAAAACCGCAACCCAAAAACCTAAAAAACCCCAAACCTAACCAACCAAACAAAAAACCCCAAAGACATCCTTCTTCTTCTTCTTCTTCTTCTTCTTCTTCTTCTTCTTCTTCTTCTTCTTCTATGTAAATAGTGTTTTATAGTATTCATATGTGTAAAATTTGGGGGGTTTGTTTTGTCTTTAAGAAAATTCTATTTAGAGTGGATAAAGATATAAATTCCTAATTTCAGTTCATTATAGAACAACCCAGGTTGGAAGGGACCTTGAAAGATCATCTAGTCCAAAATCTTGTGGGAAAGGGAATTTAGATGAGATTATCTATCACCCTGTCCTTCCAAAATACTGGATAAGAAGAAACTGAGTGGAAAATAAATTACCTTTAAACTTCCATAGCAACCAGAAACTGAGTGGAATATAAGTTCATTCTGCTTTCATATTATCTGTGATTACTAATTGCCCAGTGCCAGATCACATTGCTTTTATCTTAACATTTGTTAGCTACTGATGACTTCTCCCTGTAAAATAAATGCAGACTGTATTCCACTGATATCTTCTCACTTCCCTGATTAATAATATGTGCAGGACTTCTTAAAAACAAAATATGACAGCTAATTTAGTTTTATATTTTTTGTTCATCTTAAATATATATAAACATATATTAGAAAAAAAGAGCAATTAAGGGATACTGTAGCTATATCTTTCTGTCTCCCCATCCCTTTCCATACTTTCCAGGATACACATTGTAGAAGTTTATATAAATTGTTGGACATGTTTGGCTTAGAAGACTTGGAATAACAAGTATAAAATTGCTGAATCTAATAATCGTGTTAAACAGAACACACGTAACAGTCACATGCATGAAATTAAAGTCAACAATGTTTTGCTAAGCGTTTTGTATTTTTTATTTTTTTTATTTTTTGCTTCCTAAGAGCTCTATATATTCCAGTGAAAATCAGCTCTTCATAAATGTGTTTTTCTCAGTGGTGAGCTTAACCTTGTTCTTTGACAGAGCTAGTGGAGAAGCATATGTTGCTCCATATCTGACCTGCTGCAGTAGTTGTCTCTCTGTGTGACCTACAAAGCATTTACTAGACCCCAGAAGCAGTTATTGTACAAAATAATTGGAAATATGATGGTTAAACCTAGACAGAAATGCACTGTTCCAACTCTGATAGAAGTCAAACACATTCTGAATCCTTTCTGAAAATTCTGTTTCATATCTCCCTTCCTGTGGAAATCAGGTTCAAGCAGAGCCACACTGCACAACTACCTGGAGTTGAGCTGCTTTCGAGGACACAGATGTCTTCCTGTAAATCCGTCCTGTCTTCATTTTCTTCTTTACATTCCAAGCTGGGACTGTAGTGGCGGGGTTTCATTAATAGGGACTTCCTTTTGTTGACGGGAACACCTGATATCTGTTCTTCAGCTTTCCTCTTCTTAGCCATGGAGCATTTGTAGGCACTGCAATGATCAATTGTCAATGACAGAGAAAAAAGTGGGAGTAGTTTAATTCTAAGTATGAAAGTGAGGACTGACAAAATATTAATTCACTTACAGTTCCAGCAAGTTGTGTTTAGTGGATATTTAATTTTAGCTCATGTACAAGTTGAGGGCACAGGCAAGTCCCATTTCTTTTCACTGTTGCAAATATTTGTTTAGGGGAAGGGGAATGAGGAGGAAGACAAAACCAAAAACCCCATAACCCAACATCCTTAATCCTAAATAAACATATGGTAATCTAAGACCTGCTCTGCAGTAAAATACATACACCCATCAAAGGATGAATAAAATTGTAGTCTGGGTTGATAATCCAGAGAAACAGCTAAGGGGAAAAATATAACAGCAGTTATACTACTACACCCTGAACCTTGGCTCCATTACCTTTACATCAGTATGGATATTCAGTCACACATTTTGAGTTCAACAGCATAAAATCTGTTTGAAACACACTGTACCTTCAGAAAATTTTGCAATATATGTCCCTTTTTCAATATCAGTCCCAAGCACTGGCTTCATTTCATTAACTCCAGCCATAAACATCTAGATTAAGCTCCTCAGGTCTCTGAATAGACCCTGGAAAAAGTCTTCTCTGGAGGGCAATTCATCCCACTCAAAACTAGACCTATCTGATAAACAGGGTGAACCATTCCCTGGGAAAGGCCTTGCCTGGTCCAGATGCCTAAGTTTCAGATGACAGACATGAGAAGAGAGGGCAGTATTTTAAAGAGGGAGATTTTTAGCAGATTTAATATACTTTCAGTTCCTATAGGATCCACATATTGATCTCTCTATTAATGTGCTTCTACAGATATTTAGCAAAGACTTTTCTGCCATGCAGCTGAATTGTATGGTATATAGATGTTGCATCATATGACACCTCATTAAGGAGGCCAGAAACTTCAACAGTTTTATTAATAAAACTTTTTTTGTGTGAGTGATTTGGCATGATTTCATTGTTCTCTCACACAGAGACTTCTAAGAAATCTATGTAGTACAAATAATAGTGTTGACGTTATATCTGTCAGAGTTGAAAAAACTACATATATGAATCTGTGTAATCCACTCAATGGTTTCTCCACCTTAGGCACCCCCAGGGTGCAACACAAATCTACACAATGCCCTAAAGCATTGGATTTTGCATTTGGCTCACCGACTTAGCTGCAAGATTTGAAAAAAATCCATGTATGCAGAATACTCCTATTGGTTACACATATTACAAGCTCAACAGTGTAAATTAATCCTTCCAAGGTATCTTATGTGCACTAAATTGTCTCAGGTTCTGATTGTTTTGGATGAAAGCATATGACTAACTTGAGCTTTTTGTTTAAAATTGTCCATTTTTGACTAAGCACCTTTTGGCAATCCATCATTGCAAACATGATGGACATAGAAATACAAAGATCTGCATTTTAGGGGAAATGTTAAAATTCTATCATATGTGTCATGCATTCTACCATGTGCACAGTGGATATTGTTGATCTTCTGAAAGTTAAAATGCTATGGGGATCAGGAATATCAGACACTAAGTACCTGCTGTAGTTGAATATATTACGACTTCTGTATTATTTCTCTGTTTATAAATAGAGGAAAACATTAATATCATATTAAAGCTCAGAACCATAATGTTATAAGCATCCCCTTGAAATGATGCCCGTATAACAGACATCAGGGATGGATGCAGTTCAGACAAATATGCATAATTTATTTCTAAGAAAATACAATCAACAGTTTCTTAATTCATATTTGTGAATGGCAGTTCATACCATTCATGTTGTTTTGGGCAAGTTGAATAAATGAAAAATGTTTTAAAACCCTTCACTAGGTTTGCTTTTGATCTTTCTCATTTATTTGTCAAGCTTCAAGTTTACCTTCAGTACGTACTGTGAGAATGTTTAGGAGAAGATGAATTTGCAGTGCTTAATTCCCCTTTGACGAAGCTACAGCTGTTTCTTACACAAACATAATTAATAGATTTTTAGAATAGAAAATGCAATTAGATCATCTAGTATGCCCTCCTGTGCAACACAGGTCACAGAACTTGATCTAGCTCTTCAGCTTTATATCCTGTAAGTTGCCTGACTGTTGTGTAACTTCCAGTCAACTTAAGGGAAAACATGGTAAGATGATTCTTGCTCACTACATAAAATCTTTTTTTTTTTTTTTTTAGTAACATGATCTTGTAAGCCCACCACTGTGGGCTGGCACAACAGCTATTAAACATGTTAGTTTTTAACCACAACTGTGAAAGGTAGCCCAACTCAGATGTTAGCAAAGCACAGTCAGGACCAGTGCAGGGGTACTGCTGCCACCTGCCTCCTGCAGATCTGCTCAGGGAAATGAGAGCACAGGAATCCCACTTGACCGTAACTACCACAGTTTACGGCAGTAAATCAAAAGCTGTTCCATCCATGTCAGGACAGGAAGCCCACAAATCTGCCTGGAAGCACATTGCACATGTTAGAAAGTTTCTCCTCTATAAAAGACTGATGCATGAGCTTGTCCTCATACTTTTTTCTGTACATACTCATCCACTCACCTGGATTTCCTCTGTAGTTCCCATCATTTTGAAATAAGTGAATACATGAGATGCAACTTCAAGTAAAATGATTTCTGCCACCTTCCACTGTGATTACAGGAAGATGACAAAACAGAGTTGTTACTTTTTTCTTAGGAATGCAAATTTATATCCATAGACCAGGAAGAGATTTTTCAACTCCCGTAGAATATACTCTTGCTTTTGCTGGTGACTTTTTAAACTGCTGGTTTTGAGTTTTAACTGGAATTTATAAATTTGCAAGACCCAGTTTAAGGATCTATCATTTACCAGCAATTCCTCTTCTAAAATCACATACACACACATACGTTAGCACAGATTTGTCAAGCTGTAGTTTGTCAAATGGTAAACCTATAATTTAGCTTCTCTATTACTCATCTCATAAATTCCACATCTAATAGTTTTGTTGCTATTTATCAATGGCCTGCTTGTTGTCATGGAACACTGATTCAGCTGTCAAGGTTATTTGGTAATCTGAGGCTCATAAAACAGGAGAAGCTTTTTTTGTTATGAGTCCAAAGCCGATACATGTTTGCTTTTTGTTGGGTTTTTTTCCCAATTTAACTGTACTTAAATTTTATGAATAGTAAATAATTTTAGTACTATCTATAAAGAGCATATTTTTAATTATTTTTTTTTTTTTAGTCAATGGGTCAGTTACCAAAACCATTCTTGTATCCGTTATCATAGTGTGAGCCAAGAGACTAAAATCTATGACATAGAAGACATGGTTCCATGTATTGAAAAAAATCCCATGATAAGTCTTTTGTATGTATTTCATACTTAAATACCTTTTTCTTTTTTTTTTTTATTTGCTGAGTCCTTATCTTTTTTTAATTTCTGCTCAGAATATATCTTGCATGGTGTGGGCAGACACTGGTAGTATACAGGCAGAACAGTGCATTGGCTGTCTACCACAAAGCAATGCCTCAGAAGAAAGAGAGAGGTTTTAAGCAGCCCTAAACACACACAGTTTTACCTACTGCTAAAAATTGTCATGCTCATGTTCTTTTTGTAATTGGTTCATCTAAATGATGTATTTGTCAAGCCTTTAACCCAACCTTTAACAACTTTGTAGTCAGCAAGGATTTTTTGTTGTTAATCTGTTGGCAAGACTTCCAGATCTCTGGGGATTTTTTTTCTTATTCACAACAGCCTGTAGATTGGTAAAGTATGATAAAAGAGTGAAGAATTGCCATCGTGGGTAAAACCAGGGGTACATTCAACCTGACAACTGGTGTTTATTAATGCCTGTAATGGATGCCATGTAAAATAATAAGAACAGAATACACTGCATCTCATAAATACTCCTTAGCTTCAAGAGAAAATAAATGTCTTTGAATATCAAGGGACTTACAATTATTGTCTAATGCTATTTAAGAAGTGTACTCCTCATGTGGGTTTGTGCAAGAATAATTAATGGAATATTTTCATTTATGGAGAAAATAATTTTAAATTCTTAACATAAATTGCCGTTTGACTGTTTGCTTAACTGCACTACAAAAGTAAGCATTTGATTATTGAATTACAATTAAAGAAGACATCATCTTCTGCTGTGTAGAACCATTTAACTTCACACTAGTAATTACGAGAAGGTTAGCCAAACTACTTTTTAATCACATTGTAATTAAAGATGTTACCGGATGTTTCAGGCTTTGCTCAGGTTTTGTTTACAAACTTGCAGATGTCCTAGGACACTGTGGAAGACAAATACTTTATTTTCCTTACAGAAGGGAAAAGTTGGTATTCGAAGATGCAGGGATACTTTCCACTCACAGAAGAACCAGTAACTTACAAATGTCTGTCATGGTTGGGCTTTTTTCTAAGAATTTTAAGACTGTACTGAATCAGAGGTACCTAAGAAGGACAGAAATTCTCAATGTCTCCCCAACTTAGTCATCTTCTATGTCAGCTTGTTCACTAAGAAACAGACGAACTGGATTTTGTCTAACTCTCTAGCACAATGGCTTCCAAAGGTTTAGGCTATAGCTGAAAGTATCTGATCCCTAAAAATCACACAAAAATCCTGAGCTGCTCATAAGCTGATGATGGACAAGAGAAATTACTAGCAATGGGTACAGAAAGGGTATGCTCCTAGGATGGATCGAGTCTCAGTTGAAATGACATTTATGTTATTGTTTACATAAACTATGAATGTCGGTGGTTCATGAAAGGAGCTGGAATGTCAGAGTTGAAAGAAACGAGGGCTGGTATTCTGATCACTGTAATTGAAAACCCAAATGAGTGCTATTAATTACAGCAACTTCAGAGAGACAACAGTGTTTAGGGAGGAAGGTGGAAAGTGACTATGACTCAATTGATTGCTTTGTCGTCAGGTTAAGACACTCAGATTTATGTTCCGTTTCCTTAACTAATCCTTGTTTGCAAAGAGTACATGGAAATTCTG